ATTGATACTCAACAGTTCACGGCACTCGGGTTTTCTGTTAATTAACCAACACGAAAGCTAAAGTATTTAGTTAATGAATTAAAAATTAAAAACGTTATCTGTCAGTTGTATTCAAGGTTAGGCCGTAAGCAAGTATAGGACAACTAGAAATAAAGCCACGACTTTATTAGCAACCAATATGAAAAGGAATATACCGACATTGTTTTGTTTCAGGAAGGCAAAAGTAATTGAAACATACTGCCAGCCCTTGTTCTTCAGCGATAGTACTGGCTGTATTGTCACTGAAGAACCTTAATCTTCATTTTTATCTTTTTCTCCCTACAATCTCAGAACCCACTGGAAAAAAATTTGGAGTATATTATATAGTAAGTTTATAGTACTATTTTGAGACATAATAGTGATTTAATTGGTAAAAGCGCTACTAGTGTGAAAAGCTGTATTACGCTGCGACGCGCAATCTGCTCATGAATAAGAGTCCCACTGTAACTTGAAACTAGTAGGTGTATTCCGATATTCACGCGAATAAGTCGTTATAGTCAAGTATTTATTGAGCGGTTGTAAAACTAATTAATGGCACATAATTGTACAAGTGACATAAATGCGAACATTTATTAAGTAACGTTACAGATTGTTACTTAAATTGAACGACAAAGTGATACCAAAAAAAGTTAGTATATTGCTCGTAGTGGGTTTCACAAGGCAAAAATGGCATAGCAAACGCTTTAGTGCAGTCAAAGAAAAGTACAGACGAAGTCATTTAGCCAAATGTAAGTTAATATACAAACTAGTTTTTAATTGGATAGCACGATCTTTCTTACTAAAACTTTGATATTAAAGGGCATAAAATTAAATGTAATAAAGGAGACATTTCGCGTCCGTCTGGTTCGCTGATCGTAAAACTCATGAACGAGTCGTCAGTCGACTGTCATTTCCTCAACTTTACGACGTAATTATTAACACGTGCCAGATCGATTGTTTCCATTTACTACGCGAGTACGACCACAGATTATGATCAATCAGAATAAACCTCAGAAATAACTGTTCATCTAGTGTGACGCGTTTCGTTATCAAAGATAGTAAAGTAGTAAAGATCTATTTGTCCCCAAAAAAGTAGTGTAGTCTGCAGTCTAACTAGAAAACCTGGAGCTCTATCATTATAATATTCTTGTCACGCAGTTATCGAAGATAGTAAGTAAAGATATATTTGGGTGTAGTTAGTAGCGGTCTAAAAAGAAAATCTAGCGCTCTACCGCGCGCGCGTATTTAATATCTCCAAAGAGTATGTCGTAGTTGTCATTTTAATTGTAAGATAATTGTTTTACTAGCTATGCGAGTCCAATAACCTAACCTAACCTAACCTAATATGGGACAATTCAAAACGCCATCATGATTGTTACTTAAAATGCTTCTCACAAAATATTAAAAACCATCTGAGATCTTTCTTTTAAACGAGAAGAAACAAGAGTCACTTCACTACCCAGTTCGCAAAACAGGTCTGAAAAATACAACAATTTGTATAAGGTTGTATGGGTGTGGAACCCAAATCTTACGTAATACCTACATACACATCAATCGTATGTTGCACACTAAAAAGGTAGGTATTATAAAACCGGTTCGATTCCAGTTTGACTGGTACACGGTTCAATTTTTTAAAATGTCGACTTGTATTTAAGATTGATATGATATTACGGATAAGTTTATGTTATTGGGATTCAGTTCTGATGCAAACCGATTTTGAACTTTGATCGCGTGTATTTTTGGTTCACAATGAACTTTAGAAGGTTTGGAAAGCGTAAGCAACACATCAGTTACGGCAACTGCTTTTCATTAGGAATATCTTTTAAAAAAGTAGCCTATAGGAGAACAGAAAAAGAAAAATTATCTAGTCAGTCAGTTTATATTCACTAAGGTGTCAATAAATTGTTGGTTTCGGAAAGAAAAAAAAATATACTGTGCCTGATGATTTTAGGAATTTCATGATGAAGCAAACTTATCCATACTTAACATATATGTATAATTATCGATACAAAATCCAGTGATATAACACTTACATGGTGTTTCATATCGTATGATATCTAACTATCACGAGATAAGACGCAAATAAGTAATTAGATTCCGGGCTGATTTCAATAGTCAGATATATGTTATCTTAGGAATAAAATTGTTGCTGTCACTGTCTTATACAAACATTCTGACGCGACAGCATCATAATTATTCCGCAGATAACTTTTATCTAACCATTGAAAAATCAGCCCTACGTTAAAAAATATAGCAGCGTAACTACCAAATAGTTTCGATAACAGTTTGGCAAAAAATAACAAATACACATCCACGTGTAGAATAGGTACCTACAGTAGTACTTTATTCACTATCACAGAATAAGGAATGATAATGGATAAAGTATTACACATTGCGATCATTTATCAGCGTTTCAGTTGTGAGCAAAATATTTTTGTTTGCTTATCACAATAAGTAAAAATATATTGTTTTTTATGGTATAGGGCGAAAAACGATTGAGCGGGTCACCTGATCACCAGCTTCACAAATAAATGGGACATTGGAATTTACACGAACTATTTTACTTATTAAAACGAGTCTAAATTGTCTATATATGATTTTTCACTAGATGACCAATATACAGAATGTACCAGTAGTAGACAACAATGTAAAGCCGAAGACTAGGTACCTACTTGAAGTAAACGGACTAACGAAATACCAACGTTGGTTCTCTCGATCTGTACAAACAGCTAACAGGTGATTTATTGATACCTACAGTATAAATAATACACGATGCAAACCAAACGAACGTAACTATATGCAAACGACATCTTACTGTTTATAAAAACAATACAATGACAGCGCGTGACGTACTTCGCTCGCATACATTGTCGTCCTACTAAAAAACAGAGGCCACTAGGTGGCGCGCTTGATGATACCAAAATGGCGCCGAGCGACAGAGGCGGCACCAACTCAGCCCACGTGTCTAAACAAACACGGCGCCGCCGTACGGCGCCATTGCTGTAGTCGACTGCGAGAGCGAGACCTGTTTTGCCGTATGGCATCTTTTAAAAGTATTTTTCAACTCTATTATGGTTCAGTGTGCAGTTTACGGTTGCAGTTCGAGATCCGATGTTTATAATTATGAGAAAAAAGAAGCTATTCAGTTACACAGGTACCTAATTACTGTTTTAGTTGTGAATTTCTAAAGAATGATATGAAGTCGCGCGTTTGCGAACAAACATGGCTGCAACCGGATAGTATTGATTGAACTCAGGGCCGTACTTGGGTTTCAATAACAATTTGAATCTGTTTTTTGTGGGTTCTGCTATTTAAGTATTTATTAGGTTTATGTATAAACAATTATTTTGTTACTATTTTTATTAATGGACGAGATCAATAAATGTTAGGAAGATTGCGTTAAATTTTGATGACTTTTCAACAAAATGCTGATTGACATTTTTTTTTCTGCAGGATACCGAAAAATCCTCGAATGCGCAGCAAATGGATACAGGCACTTGGAAAAGACAATATAAAAGAAAGTACAAGGATATGTTCACTTCATTTTGATGAAAAAAATTACTATACAACTAAACAAGGTTTGAGGAGACTATTGCCAGAGGCTTTTCCAGACACGAAATTGGTAGATGTTACGATTATTTTTGTGAACTGGGAAATTAAGGGGAAATCATAATGTATATTTTTTCTTTGTAGCCCGACCCTCCGAGCATAGAATCTTCGGAATCCAGCGATGATGAGGAACAAGCGCCGAACATTGTGATATTAAATCAAATACCAGCAGTGAACACGATTGTATCGAACATAAGTCATTCTGTTCCAACAAAAATAATTGTCGTTCCACAATCTAGTACTCTGAGAATAGAACCACAAATCGTTAATCAAGTTAATTTAGCTCCCGTCAATGTTGTTGGGACAACAGCGGTAATTATTTACCTATTTTCATTTACTTTTATAACAACATATTCTTGGGATTGTTTTTATTGAGAATTTCGAACTCATTCAATTCAGAGTAGCTGTTGCTCTTGTGACGCGATGCAATATAATGATTGAATTTTAATATATGCTTTGCAGCCTTATGTCCAAATGCAAGCCCAAGCTTCGGAAAACTCAAGTAGAACCGCATCGGCAGAAGGAAATTTCGAGAACCAAATGACAACACCGTTAGAAAAAAAATTAATGATTGAAGTAAAATTGTTGCGAGAAGCCGTCGATTGTTTAGAGGAACAAAATCGAAGACTACTCACTAAAAACAATTTTCTCCAACAAAAACTCGATAATTATGAAAGAGAGAGAGGGATGGTAAATAATGTAGATTTTAAACCGGACAATTTTGGTGTGTAACACTAGAAATTCAATGAGACTTATATTATATGGAATTTATATGTATATTATGTGACAATAATTATTAAACACGTAAGACTTATTTGATTGTGTACTTGTTTGTTACACACCTTAATAATAATATTTTAGTTTAAGGCATGAACATTATTGTGATTTAAACTATTTGATTAGGGTTTTTTGCAAAACTACTGTAGTAGTTTTTTGAATTAAATGTAAGCTGATTTGAAAAATCAATAAAATATTTTATAGTAAGAACCTAAAAATTATTTTCCTTGTTTTAATAGTAACTTCACAATTGAATTTGTAAGATATTTTACGAAATCAACGCAGTTCTTGGCAAAATTATGATATTGTATTCTTGTAAGCTATTGACATACACATTAATTAGTAATTTATACTCTTTTACCACGTAACTCATTATTCAATCATCAATTATGAGTAAGAACATATTTTTGGCGGTTGTGTAACCAAGTGCTGCCATCTATGCGAAACTATAGCTAACTACTTGGTCGAAAACTACACGACTGTGTTGTAGCTGGAACCAACAAGACTCCCGGTCAAAAGATGGCGCTGTTCAAAGATAGCCTTATGTTCAAATCGTGCCCATTTTTTCTTTTTAATTTATTATAACTATTACTTACGTGATTTGAACTGCTGGACTAAGGATGCAGCGTCGGCGGCGTGATGGTACTCGTAAATGGAACGGCCGACAAGTTCGTCTGGCTCGTAACCGAGAGTGCTCATCAATCTAGAAAGAAAGAAACAAAAAGTTGTATTATTCTCATTTTCCTACTTTTCACACCTGTTGGACTAACTAGTATCTAGGTACATAATAGTTTTAAGTTTACTTTATAAATTAAAGAAGATTTTTTTTTATTAGTTTGTCAAATATAAATTCCAGTTTTAATCCAGTCAACAAATGTAAATTAAAATTGTATTTTACGTTCCTCTTGAGATTGTGCGAAAAAATACAAAGAAAACGAAATGAACATAGTTTTGGAAAAATATTTCTACTACTGATATAGCTAAGTACTTATAGATAGAATTATACACCTGTAAACATTTCACAACTTTAACCCAAATTAGCACTTGCCTATCTTTGCCAGCTTTAGTTCAAAGTTAAGACACAGGAAGCCATTGAAATCCAAAGGTCACCTCTAATATGACCTGCAATCCCCATGCTTAGAACATGCTTGCCGGTACACCTACATAGATAACCTTGAATGACCTACCGCCACTCCCATCGTCGCCCCTTGCTCATATACAATATTTTATCAGAAAAACGTGCTTACGACATAAAACTAATCAATAAATTCGATTTAACACCTAGACTAACTAAAAAAAACCACTTACAGCTGTGCTATTTAAATATCCCGCCATTCTCACAGTATCCAGAAACAAAAATACACAAATACAAACGATTTAAAAACACAAACACACTATTTGTTATCACTGCAACAAAAACACATCACCACACATAGAAACATCGAGTACTGAACTATTTCCACGTAAGTTTATCGCGGACTGTGTACAAAACCGCGAAATCGCATCATGTTTAACCTACAAAATACATTTGAAGGTGATATTTTTGTTGATATTACACGGCTGGGTGAAGTTGCCAGTCGTAAATACTACAACACAATAGACGACGCACAACTTAAATTCGGTCAGGTAATACGGTCGATTTGTTTGGCAACAGCGCCATCTTTTGATCTTTGTCAATATCTTTATGTCTACTAAGTTTGTACTTGGGGAAATGTGACCGTCACCCTAATTTTTCTGGCCGTGGGGAACAGATTAATTTATTGCTTCTTGTAAAACTTATTTACGTAGTTTTAATGATAGAGTTGACCTAAATAAATTTTAATAGGTAGGTACAACACATTTTGTTTCTGAACAAAACAATGTTATTACACTACACAAAAATTAAAATTGTTGTGTAGTAACTAAATACTACTCGTATTATTCAATGACTTTTTTAACAGAAGCACGACTTTTTAGTATACATTCTTTAAAGACTTTGTTTTGTTGAACTGAAAAATACTCTGTTAGCAGTAAGTTTTCCTAAGACTGTCTTTATAGCATACCTACAAAGGAGTAACTAAAATCTTATCACATACCCCTATATTAAGCTTCTATTACACTTATGCATCCATTCATACTTTTTTGGTCGATCAAAGTTATATGCTTAGGTCGCCTAGTAGAGCATTTAAGCACGGGTTTCCATATATTCTTATAAATCCCATATCATAAAAACTACTGAACTAATTAATTCAACCTCAATTTTATTGAAAGTATGCAATATGACATTTTTTAAGTCATCAGTTATACGGGTTTTTAAGTTCCTATGTATGGAAAATAAAATTGATCCTTCAAAACTCTTTTTCGGATATCTACTTACTTTTTGAAAGTTGATATTTTGCAAATTTACCAAGTTTCTTCGAAATCGGTTCGGATGTTTCCGTGACTTTTGGACTGAAAGTTTGTTAGACCACCATATTCAAACTTTCAGCAATCTTGGTATACCATGGAGATATTATATAAAAGAATAGATACTCACGCTTCGTCCACATAATTGAATTTCATATCCAAGCTATGTTTGGACAAAAAGGTTTTGCTGTCCAACGGTATCTCTATGTTGGAAGGATGTGGTATGGGTCTGCCCACAGCCACCAGAGTTCCATTCTTGGCCACTTTCTTGTCATCCAGCTCTGGTTTCTTATCTTCATTGTTGTTGCGTTCTGTCTTATCAGCTGGTGTTAACATGTGACCGGTTATATGGATCACCTGGAATGGAGAAGGGAGTTTAGTTTGTGGTTTTTCTATGCTGCGCTGGGTGATTTAGATGATAAAATACTTTTTGGTGTAATTTTGTAAGCAATGACGAGTCAAGAGCTGTTTTATGGTCTACTCACACAAGCTTATACTGATGTAGTTTCGTTTCATTGAATACAATAATAAGTTTAAAAAGACATGTTTTTCTATGTAACATTTCGTTCACAAAACAAAAAGCATAAAGATTATTTTCTTAAGTAATACAGAATACCTAATTGTTTAATAAATCTGATTATTTTTCCTCATTAACAACTATTCTATAATTCTAAACGAAATTATTAATTAAATAAATAGTTCTAAGTCTCATGTGTGGTCAAAAGTTTAGCTTCTATCTATACTAATATTATAAAGAGGTAAAATGTGTAAGTTTGTATGTAAGGTACTCCTTCTTTGGAACCGCTGGTCGGATTACAATAATTCTTTCACTGATACCGCGCGAGAGTAGCTAGTATAATATATTTTCATACAAATAACACTGAATATTTTCTTAGAACTGACCCTTCACTTTTATAATTTAGTTTTTTACCTAGTAGGTACACCTATATCAAATTCTAGGTAAATGTTTGGCTACTAAATTCTTAAACCTCAGACTAAATAATATCTAAATAAGAAGCAAATGATTGAAGTTTCCAAGGCTGGACCAGACTTACTTTAGGTAAATTAAACAAACTATAAATTAGTTCACCACAATGTTTGTATGTCCATCAATATTCGTATTTATTTATACTACGGAAACCTCACATGTGCAATAAGCATTTTTATCAATGTTATTTTAAGACTACGCTTCTACTACATAATTAGCTCTTTGTCAGAATTCATCACATACTTGAATTTGGCCACTAAATCATTAATCCTAACATACCAAGTTACTGCCATCTTAGCTTACAAAAAAACTATAACAATTTGTGTTCATAATAAATCGTGATAAATGTGCTTCGAGTTTCAGAAGTAAAAACTACATTCTACTCAACATCATCCAAAGTTTGTAAGTATTGGTGTTAGTCAACTGTTTTATACCGAACAGTTCTAAATTTCAATTGGCACATCTATACTAATATTATAAAGAGGTAAAATTTGTAAGTTTGTATGGAGGGGGTAATCTTTTGAACCGCTGTTCGGATTGCCAAAATTATTTCTTTGGTTGATAGCTACAATTTTCCTAAGTGCTATAATAGGCTATAAAACATCACGCTAGGATTAAATGGAGCAGAGCAGCGGGTGAAACCGCGCGAAAGTAACTAGTAGATTATACTCTGGAATAACACATATGCTAGTCTTTACCCTAGTAACGAGGTTGAAGCCGCTGGTAAGCTGAATAGTGTACACGAACTATTACAACGTTTCAGTCAGTTTTTCCTTTTTATCTTATTTAGTTTAGCAGGTACCAGGGATTCAGAATTTAAAATAATTTTCAAGATACTTTTACTTTTAAACTCAAAGATGTATGACCACACATGAACATAACTATGATTTCGTTTTCTTTTTTACATTGGACTTCTGATATTGATTTTTAACGGAATGAGTTTTTAATAAAGCCATGTCAATATTAAACAGCATACTCATTCATTCAATTTGAATTAGTATAAATGCTTTCGATTTCACTTTGGGCAACCAAATCTGACCAGATGACCAAGTATTCGTCTATATTCCACAATATTGCTATCCATATTTGGATTGTAAGAAATGGTCAAGTTCTTTAAATTAATTTACGGTAGGTTAAGCTTTTTTTGGCAGGGGAAAATCATCAAATCACTTCTCCCGCCCTGGGTAAGGCGAGAGGGAGTTTCAGACTCTTACTGACTAAAAAGCCCCCCGTTCCTTCTCCTGCTCTGAGCCGAGGCCGCGGTGACCCATTGCGCTTAACCCGCAACCCCGAGGTTTGCCTACCAGAGACAAGACAAATTGACGTATTACGTACATTATTTATCTAAGTATTAAGACTACATTTCGGTATTTGTAATATTAGGTACTAGCCCCTAAACGTGTTATTCAAAATTCATTACATATTATATCTCGAGTTAATAATACATATACAACTTCTAGATATGGGGTTTTACAACTACGCCATCGTCGAATCTTTACAAAATTCCGTAAATAAAATGATTACCTAATACATACTGTCTGGGCTGAGTAAACAAGAATATTTACAGAGTCATAAAGCTACCGAAATACACAGTTTAGTGTTGTTCTAACTTTTTTTTTTACTTTTAACTTTGATGTCATCAAGATTTTTTAAAACAGAATCTTCAATATTAAGTTCGGGAAAATGAGACAAAATCATATATACCTTTTTCCTGTGGTTTAAACAATATATTATTTATGGACTGTATAAATAGGTTGTTAATGTTGTACCTTTCGTGTGACACTAGATATGTAATAATTACTAAATATGTAATTAATTTAATGTTTAGCGGCTTACAGCTCATTTGGCGGTATGACGTGCAGTGAGGTCCATGAATATGAGCCCCGAGTGTGGCTTGAAACAAGTCATGTTAACTCGTATAACATCTAGAGTAAACCGTTTATCGTAAATAATAATTTAGGTTTATCCTAAGTACAGTGCCGAAGGAAATAAAATGAAAAAAGTGTATTTTGAAAATTGATAAGTTCTTAGGATTTATGATACGAGATAATTAAACCAATCTCTATAGCGTTGTTAAAATTATATACAATACGGATTTAGTTACCTATTAATTATACCTATTCAGAATTATTTCCTTAAAATTATGAACTAATTAAAATCTTACAAAAAGGAAAACCTATATGGCACGTAGTTACCAGGTAAGCATTTATTAAGGTATGGTTAAACATTTGGAATCCCTATAACGTATACAGTAAATATCTTATGCAATATTAAAATCGCATAAATAATGTAAACTTCATACTTATATATAAGAGGAACTTTTTGATTCTTTGTTCAAATAAGGTCTGAAACTACTTGATCAATTTGAAAAATTTATTCCCTGTAGGCTACAAATGGGCGCAGCTAGTATGAAGGAATTCTCTAGCCCAGTGTGAAGGAGTGTCAGACTCTTTCCTCACGATGTTTTTCCTTCGCCGTATGTCATTGGTGTCTAAATAATCATAGAAAGTACATATAACTCGGAAAAAGTCATATTGGTTACTTACCAGGTTTCGAACCCTCACTTGAGGATACCGTCATGCATGAGAAGCGGGCTCCTTAACCTAAAGGCCACCACGACACTTTTCACTATTAATGGGATTGAATTTAGGTTCAAAGTTGTATAATTGTCGATGTTTAGAAAATGAACAAGATTTAGTCATATTAAGGTTTCTTTTAAGAGAGATTAAAGAGCTTTTTGGTTAGAACGATACAACATTTCATCGCACTCAAATTAGCAGTCTGATTTCGAAATATCCTACATTATAGGTCGTAATCACTAACTTTCGTATTATTATATTACTTGAATAGAGCCTATGCATATCGGAGCGCAGATCTAAGCTATATGCAAAGTTTTTTCTAATGAGTCTCATAACGACCTCTGTACCAATATCATATACGAGGCGGCTTCGACCGCATGGTATGTTAAAAATGCCGCCTATGTGTTAATCCAGGGTATCCGCCTATCTACATACCAAATTTCAATAATTTTTAAATTGTATCAATAATGATAGCATGTTAAATCAATCAAAACCTGTTGCCTTGCTTTGCTGCGCCCTAGCAGGGTTCATTGTTTGGAACTATCATAATGTAACAACTTGTAAACAACATGAAATGCAATAAATAAATGATGATGAATGCGCCAATCAAATCGGTCCAGCAGTTTTTACGTGAAAGAATAACAAAAACCTCCTTACATTTTCACAACCTTTCACATTAATAATATTAGTAGGATACATAGAAATGTGATAAGTTAGAGAGGTGATAGAAAGCCTTTCTAGAAGCCGCCAAGTACCTTATAAGAAGCAGATTTAAGATGCACATTCCTGCCCTTGCTGGTAAGGGTACATTTAAGCCGAAGCAGCAGGTCTCGGCGGCCCGTGGTGTTGGAACGCAGGGCTTCGCGTATCTCATCGTGGTCGCAGGGATGACTGAACTCGAATACACTCTGGCCCATAATCTCCATCTGTAATTTAAAAAATATAATGGTTATTTAAGGTACAACTATAATAAAGGGTAATGGATCTAAGTACAGACACATATCGTGGGTGCTCTAGATGGTAAACTGATTTCAGCTAAATCTGACTGATTTCAGCTAAATCTGACTGATTTCAGTTAAATATGGCTGTGGCACAGTGCCGAGAGAGTGAGCACAGAAAAGGTAAGTATAATTTTCAACGGCTAAGCTGGGCTTAGCGAATTTATTTGAAATACGAAGGAAAAGGTACTTATACACACGAAAAACAATATTGACACAAATTTTGGTGTGACTGTGTGAGTGGATGGGTAAGGAACAGGAGGAACTATCTTATTTCTTAGTAATTGCAGCATATAGGTGCCTACAAGGTAATAAAATGTTTAATTTCCATGGTTAATAGAACAGCCTGTAGGATACTACTACGAATATCTTCTACCTTTAGGCACCTTTAATACATAAATTGTACAAATTAATAACACAACCATATTATTCATTATGCATTTGATAAATCTTCAACAGAATACCTAAAACGACTCATTATTTAATACCTAAAACACAAAACTTCCTCATAGCACTTGCATTAAATTGAAAACAAATTGATTTCTAAGAATTGCTGTCGACGAAGTGAGTTGCGCACATGGGTACAAATCTAGGCGCCTCCGCGTCATTCAAATTGTAATTGTATGCTAATAAGAATTGAATACATTTTTAAATGTGTGTGCTGATACTATATTCACATTACCGAATTCGTGTTACGTGAGTTGAATAATACGATTCGAAGCAAGCCCTCAATTCGAGAAATATGTTACTGCTGATGATGAATGAATTTTATATTTTGATTCTAGTATTTTTTCACTAGCGAGACACAGATATGGTGGAACAGATATATCACCAGATAATAGTGCTAATATCTGGTGTTCGCGGTAAACGTATTAGAACAAACCTTGAAAATATCGACAGTTATGTCCATTTTTGAATAGTAACTATCGTTAGACATATTATGTATTTTTATTGAAAACTAGCGGCCCGCCCCGCTTCGCGCGGATCCAACTATGTCGCTATCAAAGGGTCACTTTTTCCTACTCTTCCCCTCTACTTTTCTAATATTTTCTTTCATAAGAACCTTTTCCTGACAATAATAAACACAACAAAAAAAGAATTAGCAAAATTGGTCCAGGCGTTGTTGAGTTATGCGCTTACCAACACATTTTGCGATCCATTTTTATATAAATAAGATAACGACTTATTCACTTGAATAAACTGAAAAAAAGCTCGTAAAAACATTATTTTCGATAAAAAATTAAGTATAACCATACATATTCATATTATGTTTATTAAATTTTCATGGAGTTTATTAATTTTTGTCGAAAATCGTAAATAATGAGAAATAGGTAGGTTGTCTAACGCAACAAGACAAAACGCAACAAAACAAGACGAAAGAAAACAATCAAAATTTAAAAAAGTGATGTTGTAATTTTATTATGGCACAAAGAGCTACTTCGAAATATTTCCGCATACGACGACAAGATGCTTTTGCTATGTATTCCTATATTGGCCATACCATATCATCAAGTAGGCTCAGAAGGAGATGACGGGATAAACTTGACGCCAGTTGCAGGAATTGGTCACTAAACGCTTTGGACAGAATAATGGAAGGAAAGTGGCAACGCCATTGCCCTGCAGTCGACGACGACTAAAATAATATAAAAAATAATCCTAGAGAGATATAGATAATATCAAATGCTCATCTATACTAATACTATAAAGATGTAAAATTTGTAAGTTTGTAGATTTGTATGTTTGTATGTAGGGGGTAATCTTTGGAACCGCTGGTCGGAATGCCAAAATTCTTACACTGATAGATAGCTACAATATTCAGTGAGTTATAGGCAAAAGCAATTGAGTGCTAAAGGCAAAAGCAGGGGGTGGAACCGCGCGAGAGTAGCTAGCTTATTTATATATCAATCTGAAATTGCTACTCAACATAAGTAGCAATTCCACGCTCAAATAATCATATTATTATTAGGCCGAAGAAGGCGCTAAATTGTGCTTCTAAAATACATGAACACAAACTCCTAAAACACTTCCTATCACAAATCCACACCATCGAATTACAAGTACAACGAATGCTAAATATACCGGCTATTTTTACAAAAGTACTTTAACATTGACCTATATATTTATAGGATATTGCTTTTATGTATTTTAAAAACATATCTACATAGTGTGTACAATATGTGTCATATTACTATATACCCAAGGTTCATAATTGTACATCAAACAAAATCTACCATTAGATTGTATGACGTAACAATGCCGTCGACCTATATGTATGCGCCTGCGCGTCTACTGAACACTTGTGTATCACCATGTGGTTCTAAACTGAAGTGTAATGTAGTCCTTATTACTCAAAACATAAGGACTAACGTTTTATTGCATCATTGTGAGATAAGGCTGATAATCTGAACACTTGTTCGCGTACGTAAGTTTTCGAATGATAAAAGAAAATTATCAGTAAATGGAAACATGTTTATACTGAAAGAATATCTGGCGATCTACCAATCAGAATATTGGAAACGTAGAATATAGGAAAACAATGCCACACCTTTATAAAAAAACAACCACAGATTCAACTCCTGCGCAACAAAGAGAAACAGTCATCTGTTTCTTTGATGTTTTTAACGTATAAGATCCACGCGTATAGTTCATCAATTACTTAAATAGATATATTGAAGCCTATGGAGTTTCTGAGACAAATACAAATGGAGGTTATAGTAAAACCGGTTCTACCAGTTACAACAACGTTTTGAACCATGACATTGAAATGTTGAGTCTTGTTTTTGTTTTGTAATATAAAATTATTTGTCCCGTGATAGTTGGACCGTCAATATGAAGGGCGTTTTAGAAGTTTTAAGATATTTAGAATACCATGTGTGAAAGGTTTGTAGTTTGTAAGCCGTGGTGGCCAGGGAATTAAGGTACCCGGTTCTCATAAGGGTTTTTGAGAATTGATATACTTTCTAAGATTATTTCGACATATCTGGCATACGTTAAAGGAAACCATGGCATACGTGAGGAAACCCAGATAAGGAAATTTTTAGACCTAGCATTAAGTTAACCTGGCATTGTGCTTTTAAGATTGTTTAGCGTGAACTGCGGTAAAGCGAAGCATCGTGAAAGAAACTGATCTCTCAATTTCTATTATAGTTTTTGAAATCGTCAATCCAACTCTGTGTAAACGTGACTGGCAAATAATGCTCAATCACCAGCATGAAAAAAATGAACCTCAGACAATAAAACTTAATCCAAAGACTACTTCAGTTGTTATAAGACAAATTGTCTCTGACCAGAAAGAAAGATATTTCGCACTTTAATCAACCATAGCTTTAAAGGATTTTGCTTTTAAATTCAATCAAGACTGAAGTGCTTCAATCAAATTAGGGAGGTTTCTAATGAGGTAATACAGTTTCAATCAACGATATCCTTATTCCAACAAATCAATGGTATTCATCAGATGGAAACTCAAGGACTTGCAAAAAGGAAGTTTGAATCGAGTCTTCGCTTCCGGGTTTTAATATAAAGACTGTTGTATTGGTTCATATTCGAAGGGACGTTTAAAATTATTTAAAGGACTTCTTTTCTTTAAGTTAATTATTAGTAACATTGGGTATATTGGTTTGAGAATTAATCACCACGCTTGCACAAGGCCGATTGGCTATTACAAACTTATAATTAGGAATTTTAAGTCCAGGTTCCTCACGATTCCTTCACCTAGCGCAGCCAGGTGTTAAAATGCAGTTTTTAAAAGCATTTCTGAGTAAATGCACGTGAGTACTTAAGTCGTTTTTTCAATATGAATGATGTTGTTTAGTTGTTATTTTTGCAGCTATTATTCTCACCAATTTAATTAATAAAAACATACTTAGACATTTGATATATACGTAATCGAATTATCACCCCACAGTCAAACTTAGAATATATCTTGATACTGATACGAAAACTGAAATATCATTGTGATTAAACTTATTTATTTCGGATATATAATAATAATGCTATATCAAACGATTTACATATTGGCGCAGTGTATTAACTTCCCAATAAAATGTGTATAGTTCTTTTAAAGTAGCTAGAGCAAGGAATTATCAATATTGCAGTTGGATTATCGGCTACTTAATAACGCAGTAGGTTTTCCCGAGATCCTTCGAATTTTATCGTTACTGATTGTATTAATTTATAACAGTCCTCAAAAACTGCATAGCAAAATAAATCCTCCAATCAAGAGATCTCCATTTGCGATAGTGGCGCCTCCATTTGCTATCGTACATAAATGACAACTATTACATTTTATAGATAGTTTACAATGAAAGATAGTAATATTGTATTTCCAGAGATTAGTGAGTTGAAAACAAACAATTTAGCTCTCTATATTTTCTTCGGCAAATATTAATAACGTCATTAGTTTACCTATTAGGTATTATCTTTTCAAAATAGAGTTATGAATGTCACGATTTGAACACGATAAGATTAATTATTATTGATGCAAATAATAATTTTAAATAACAACTGAAACCGCGTAAATATTGGATAGAAACAATAACGGCTAGTCATGTTCTAAACAGCCGAAATCATCATGACTGTTTTAAACATCGAACATAATTATTTCCCGCAATTTGATCCGTAATACAAAATATAATTAGTTATGTATATTGTTTTTTTTTAAGTTAAAACAAATTTGGATTTTAAATTTCTATGATTAGTGAAAGTTTTGTTATGTGAGTATTGTCATGTAATCCTTCTACTTTTTCAATTTAATCACTATCGTTGAGAAATATCCTTTCCACAATCCCAATGATATTCTGCAACTTTTTATAGTCTATATTTCGGGGTTTTCGCTCGCTAAATTGATTAGGTGTATTTTACTAACACAAATTGTAGCCAACACGCTATTATCTTTCAATTCACGTTATTAATATTAATTGATTATTATTATAATCTTGAAGGAATTCTGATAAAAGCCGGATATGACTAACTTGTATAAATTGTTTACGATTTTATAGGAGATCCCAAGTTAGTTTACATTTTTAACTTTTGGCCGACTATTTACATATTATTCGTCGTGGCTTTGGGGTTTTTTTCAAAACTATACAAATCACCAGAATAGTGCCTTTAGGATCCTAGTGAGAGTTCCATTTAGATTTATTACCAGATTTGACGTATCTTCTATTGAAAATGTATCAATCAGTCAAGCTCTGAGATATCTTAAACAATGGTGGCGAGTGGCTTTATAATAATTCAACCAAACAGGGTTTGCAGACATAACATTTTGATATAAATTGTAATGTCTTTCCTTATGAGGTTATCTTTTAATGTGTGATCATATTATTTGTATTCAATAAGCCATTATTAGATACTAAACTTCTTGGTGGCACGTGTCTAAACTATATTTATTTTATGCGTCGCCATGTAAACTGACGCGCGTTTATTGGTCAGTTTTGAAGCTGTTGTAATGTGATTGGTGGACACTTTTCTATAGTTAGTATTGAACGGGATTTTTGCTTACGTAGCATGAGTCTGTTTTAGGAAACATTACAATAGGTGTAACATGATGAATACACACAATTCGCTAGACGTAACGCGAACACGAACTCAACTCGTGATAGCCTGTACGGCGCATCGTGGCGCATATGTGCTCCATATTTTCTGGAGGCACGCTTTTATATGCCAAAGAACTATTGACGAGGTAAAAAGTGTCGAACTGTCACTATCAAAGTCACCAATCTAGTCTAGAACTGAACAGTCCCTCGAATTCTAGTCTCGCCTAACGATCTCCTGGAATCTAATCCAACTATTGATTTGTTTGCAGATGGATAGAAAGAGAGATTTTACTGGAATGCATGAGGTACTGCGAGAGGAACTTATGAATGTTGTTAATTTTCCTTGTTTTTGGTTGTTAATGTAATTAGATAAAATCAGTATTAAGACAAATAAGTAAAATAAATGAAGTCTTTTAAGTATTGTTTGGTAGGCGAACTTGAAAAAAAAATTATAAGAGGTAGTTAGCGAATGACCTGATTGATCTGTTAACGGAAAGAGATCAGCGTTTTCTCCAAGACATCAGCATCTCCATAGGAATATCAAGTGCATTACCGGTCTTTTTGGGGAAAGACGGAAGGGGGAAATTAGACCAAGTATAACAATATGACCTACTCTACATCTCTGTTATTCTAAGCTTTATTTAATTATGTTCTTATCGCTTCTAGTATATTCTGGCATTAAGAACTGACTGAACAGTAGGTACAGTAAAGATATAACACTTGTACAGTTAACCTCGAATCGTTTGTTTTCGAATAATCTTTTGATTTTGACATATTATCTCTAAGCTTCTAAATGTTATTATCAGATGTTCTTATCTGACTGTACTGTATGAAATGAAATAAACTCGATTGCCTAAAACTTCCTGACAATACTTAGGCATCAGTCTCGTTTACGAAAAATATTACCTATGAAATAGAACTTATCATAAAGTCACTTTGAAAAAGCGATAGAAATTTCTCTATATCGATAGCTTAATACATATAATCATGCTAGTATTTCTTTTTATGGGATAAGGCGGCAATGAACCGACGTACAGACATGCAGCCTTACAGCACTAGAGGAGTTACTAATGCGTTGAGTCCTAATCATTTTGAAGATGAGGTTTTTGGAAATTTAGAGATTGGGAAGGGTTGCGGGGAGGAGAGGGTTCCAGTAACGTCACTATGAAGAAGAACAACTCAGAAATAAGCTTTTGCCTTCATTTTTAAACATACGACCAGCCATTTGATAGCCGTTGCAAGTCATTGATTATTAGAAAGACCAGAGAGCTAATCTTACCTGGGACACCCCAAGATGGTCGGCGATATTCTCACTGCAGTACACGATGTCACCCTGTTGAGACAGCACGAGTACAAAGCCGTCCAGAGCCTTCATGTACGAGAGCTCTGTCGATACCTCCTCCATGCCCTCAGGGTTCTTCATCTTGGGATGCTCCGATTCAGTTTCTGGGACTGGAATAAGAGAATAAGGAATTTAATATCAACTTATTAATAATATAATAGGAATTAATGAGACGCCATTATTTTGAGGTTTCATGTTTCTGGATGTGGATAAGTTAAAATAAAATATTTGATTTTGACTTTAAATCGGAGAAAATCCAACTCCTTAAGAATACCTTAGAAAAATATATTATTTAATATTATAAAGCTTAAGAGTTTGTTTGTTTGAACGCGCTAATCTCCGGAATTACTTGTTCAAATGGGACAATTCTTTTTGTGTTTGTTAGTCCATTTATCGAGGAAGGCAAAGGCAAGCAAAAACATCACGCTACGATCTGTAGGAGCAGAGGAGCTGGTGAAATCGCGCGAGAGTAGCTATTAGAATATATATAACCTAATGTGAATTAAGAGTGTTTTTTGTTTTAAGAATTAGTATTATAAACTATCTACAATAAAAGATCTGGCATTGAAAATGTACGTAGTAGTTTAGAACCGATACTTGCATTCTGTGAAACAGTTATAAATGCAAAACGCAACTGAATTAAGATGTTTACACGTTTGCAATTCAAGGCGAGAGGCTTAATTTTGAACAAAGATTCCAAAATAACACTGAGTCTGAGTCATTGCACATATTACAAGAGTACCTAATTCGAGAGATGGAACCCTGTTCTGTAGTTCATGGTTGCCATACATCCATCGAAACTCCTTAGGAAAACTTCGAAAATTCTAAAAGTAGGTTTTGCTTTGCACCTTCCAAAACGCCACTAGGGAGTATCTTACACACTTTTATTTCTCCAGCAAATAGAGTTCTTAGAAAAAAGCATAAGGGCTCACTTCAATCAATCACGACATAGTCCCTGTTAATGATACATACATTCCGTGGGATCTCTAACAATTCCATTAAAATTAGAAACTGTATAATAGTTTAAATTGCCACATAGTCTTCCATCACTGTGGAACAAACGTTATCAATTTGAGGACAAAATGGACGCTCACAATGCAACTGCAGCAGAATTTCAACGCAAATAAATCACGTCCATACGTATGGTGGAGCGATTTACTTAAATCTGCCATTTTCCGCACATGTTGAATGATAAATAAGTTTCATTTGCATACATATTTAAATAGCGTATGTTCAGTGCAGAAACGTCAAAACTGCTTTATGCTGATGGTTGAGGCTAATCTGATAGAAATAGACACTGCATTATTTCGGTTTTGGTTTATTTTGGATATTTTATTGAATTATGTCGTGGTGGCTCGTAGGTTAAGGCTCCTCATATATCAAATACTGGCAAGTACCAATAATCCTATGTACTTTCTATGACAATTATTATATATGAATATTATTAGACACCACAGGCATACTGTGAAAGAAAAAATCGTGAGGAAACCTGGACTTATAATTTATAAGTTTGAAATCGCCAATCCGCCTTGAGCAAGCGCGGTGATTATTGCTCAAGCCTTCTTGAGATTATAGGACTTTGCTCAGCAGTGTGCACTTATAGGCTGATCATGATGATTATATTGAAAAAGGATGGATGTAAGCAGGTAGGCATCAGATGTAGTGAAGCATAGGTAGGCGTTCCATTTTTTGAATTCTACTAACATTGTTGTTGCCATAGAGTTAAAAGCGATCATAGGGCACTTAAAAGAAGTACTTACTCTATTTTGGATAAACCGATTACGCAAAGAGTTTATGACTCAACATATAAAATAGTTTCAATACAGATCGATATCGGAGGACGCGCGCGAATTCTCAATAGGGGTATAATATCAGTCTTGCATTGTCAATAAGGCAGAAAATTTTAAAGTCAAATAAATCATGAAAAAAAATCAAGGGTGCACGTTTTGTATGGACAGCTGAGCAGTTCGGATGGATGACGTCAATGTGGTTACAGCGCGTGGCTGCGCTATGAAAAATTAAATCAACGCGTGCCGTTAGTACCAATAAGTCTGGTTGCGGTTTACGCGTGTTTTTAAATGTATCCTTAGAGGAAACAAGGACGAATGATCAATAATTTAATATCTTTATGTGTATTGTCTATGACCTAAGGCTGTTACAGACCAAGCAACTGAAAATAACGTATAGTTAACGCACCAGCGCTACTGCATGTAAAATTTTGAACTACATTTATCAACTTTAACATTATTACATAAAATCTAAAAACCAATGAAAAGCGTTTACAACATCTGCCTTAGGCAACCGTGGTGATTAAAGCTCAAATCTTGCGAGAAGTCAAAAGAGGCGTTGGCCAGCTTTGGGCACTTATAAGGTTATGATGTGAAACGGATAGAGACAGAAACTATGCCTTCATATATGTAGCTGGAAATTCTTAGAGATGTTAAACCCGTATCACAATTTAATTAAAATAGAATAACAATGTTATTGTGTTACATTTAATTACTTAAATAATTTCCTGTATTATTATTACCTACTTAGTTAGTACTTGACTTAGTAACACTAATACTATACAAGAATGCATCAATTGAAATTTATAATAATGTCAATCTAAAAACTGAGTCTATTGAGTGAATTCATTAAATGAGTTTAAATGGCTTCAAACTAGTAGGCAATGGCAAAGGATTAGAAAGATTAACTGGTGGTAAGATAAATCAGCGCCGCCCATGGATACCCGCAAGGGCATTGAATGACGAGTCATTGCCGACCTTTTTGGAGATTAGGGATTTCGAGATTTACCTATCACATAAAAAAGAACAAGAAGGTATCTTGACACCTTTCGTTCTTTTCTGAAACACACGTCTTAACCTATATCATTCACAAAATTTGCATGGATAAACCACGTTTATTTAAGAAATATAAAATACTAGCTACTCTTGCGCGGTTTCACCCCTTGCTCGGCTCCATTTAATCGTAGCGTGATGTTTTATATAGCCTATAGCAATCAGGAATATTGTAGCTATCTATCAGTGAAAGAATTTTGGAAATCCGACCAATGGTTCCAAAGATTACCCCCTACATACAAACTTACTTTTACCTCTTTATAATATTAGTGTAGATAATTATATTAAGTCACAGCCGTGTTAATACGAAAGCATTTAGTTTTGTGGCCGGACTTTAGCGGCGGCTTGGCGATATTCCAGCGTGTCGGCAGCGCTATTGTTTAATTTGATTATCATTGCGTCTAAGCCAACAAAGTTCATCGTTCTAGTAAGGATCTGTATAATATAAACAGTTTTGAATTCTGTTTGCATGTGAACTAGTCGAACTTTACAAATAACTAGCTACTGTCCCGTGGTTTAACCCGCTGCTCGGCTTCTATTTATCGTATCCTGATGTTTTACAGCCTATGGCCTTCCTCGATAAATGGACTAACACGAAAAGAATTGTTCAAATTCGAATCAGTAGTTCCGTAGATAACCGCGTTCAAACAAACAAATAGTAGGTATACAGATGTAGACTTCCTTAAAGGGCTGATGTTCAGCCAGGGTAAGCGCAATGAGGCACCGCGACCTCGGCCCAGAGCAGGAGAAGGAACAGGGTTTTGGTTTTTAGTCAGTAAGAGTCTGACACTCCCTTCCGCCCGGCCCTGGGCGGAAGAAGACATTCGATGATTTTCCCCTCCCAAAAAAAAAAAATACAGATGTAGTGAAGTTTGTTCTCATGTTGTTCTGAGATGAAGGTACCAAGTATCCTAGTTCTAATAGATAATATAAACCCAAAAGGAACAAATCAAGTCTTCGTTCCAAAATACCAGCTATTAGTTTAAAGTTAATAACTTCGTAGAAAACTATTCATGTTAATTCCACATTTATATCATCAAGAAGTTTGTACAACGTCATTCGATGACCAGGTCAAAGTACAGGTCTAAAGAGATAAATCAAGCTCGGTTTTCCATCACGCAAAGTGGTGGTTAGGCAAAACGTGTTTCCATACTAGTTTGTCAAGATAATTTTAATAAGTATCTTGGCTCTGGCTGCGTGCCTTTATATCCTAAGCATTTTGAACAGAAATAAAACGCTGTTATAAAATAAAATTATTTTATTTCTCTATTTTGAGGTAGATGTATGTGTGTACACATATTTTCTAATAAAAACTTTTTTCTGCTAAGTATGATGTTTTCAATGTTTTAAATATGTATTATTTGGGCTTTCGCAGAAGCGGCTCAAAGTTTATTAACTGGTAGAATATTTTATTATTACAGTTAATTGTCAGTAATCTTGTGACAGCAAAGCTGATTAGACGTTGACGTAATTCGAATCACAATAGTGAAAATCCTATGCACGAAGTAAGGATTTAAAATATTGGTAACGATAACTATAGAGTTATATTATAGACAGGATGGATAACTACTAGCCCCAAATGTATGCTTTAAATAATTTCCAATATTATAAAACAGATATAACAAGGTGACATCGCGATATAAACAAACGTGACTAACAATAATATCAATTGAATAACTGCTTTGAGCCATTTTTAGGCTTTTTCCTTATAAGAGACTTTTTATTTATTTTGTAATGACTTAATTCAAAAACTACTGCGCAGACTTTAAGAACTATTTTACCATAACATTAACACTGAGCAACTAATATATTTATTTAATTACCTAGTAAAAATCTTGCGTCTACCCCATCCGCGTGCGAAGCTGGGACAAAAGCCGAAGAAGTGGTGGTTTTTGAGCAATGAAAAAACATCTTAGAACAAGGAAACTCAATAAGACTTTTTCTTGTTGGAGTCGGAGTTTATTACTCAAAAGTCACGAAAATTCTTACAGAAAGAGCAATTTGTTTTTTCCAAAAGCGCTAAAACAAACTAAGTAGGTAGGACACAGTACTATATAATAATACATGTATACTAAACTGAATTGTCACAGACCCTCGATCATTACCACCTGAATTTTGCCCAAAGAGAATGGTGATTCAATGCATTATTTATATTATTATCAAAACAGCGATAGCGATAGAATTACTATAAGCTTGACTGATACAAAGTGCATTAAGGTGTGGGAATGATTGCTTGCACGTGATTCTTACATGTTTTTCTGATAAATATAATGCTTTGTGCATCAGTAAGCGAAACATGGATTTTCGACTTTATCACAAAAGTGTAGAGTGAAAACTCTTTTGTCAAACCGATGAGTCAAAAACAACTAGCCAGATTTTTGTGCGGTTTTCACCAAAAGATCGAGCCGTCTAATACTTGGAGGGCAAAAAGCTATCAAAGTCAGAGTCAAAATCATTTATTTCAATTAGGCCCCAGTAGGCATTTCTGAACGTCAAGCAAAAAAAAGAAAATATATTTCAAAGGGTTTAAATTTATGCGTGTCAGTCTGTCCGTCTGTCCTCTAGTGAAGCTATTTGCTCGTTCCAAAATGTAGGTAACTGTAAATTCCTTAGATTCCGGATACTCTTTTTCAATCAGTTTTACAATGTATTTCTTTATTACATCATTTAGTCGGTTCAAATAAATAGTAAATATTCAGGATATAAAAAAAAACATTGGATTACTTACGCAAAGACACGACATCTCGCACTTTCAGGTAGGATATAGCTAGTCTCATGACAGAGGCTTTGTCAAGCTGTTCCACCTCTTCCTTACGAGCTGGTAGAGCAGCAGTGAGCTCTGCGAAGATCTGCATCTCCTTTGTACGTCGACATCGGGCCGCCACCCGCGACTTCTCCTTCCTTTTCTCATTATTCCTGGGAAAGAATGAAAAAGGAGTTAGGCTTCTCTACTCTCCAGGGTTCATGACGTATAATGTGACAATATGGAAGAGAATAAAAGTTTAAGTTCCAGTTATTCAAGTAAATTTGTACACAGATCAGGAAGGAGGGTGAACTAACTGAGGCTACGTCTGTTTTTTGGTCAATCGATGTCCGGAAAATTGGTTTTGGACACCATATAAAATAAAGTTGCCAAATCGATTAAAACACAGTTATAATCGTAAGTATGGCTATAAGACTTTAGGATCAATGGCTTCTATACATTAAGATAAATTTGCTGGGATAAAAAATCACATTCAATCACGATAACACGTTAGCAACAATGTTACTGGAAAATTATTCAAGCGAAAATGATTGAGTGGAAAAAATTAGAGCAAATCTGAACGCCATTGTTCTCCATCAAGGCAAAAACATCACGCTATGACTGACAACACGAAATAAATTAAAATGGAAATTGTTTGCATAGGTATCTACATAAAATAAAACGGTCCATAGAATATTCTTTTGAAATGAAAAGCCAAACAATCAAATTGTTTCGTTTCGACTTTGCAACAGTTATTTACTAGGATAATATAATATTCAAATCTAATAACACGTTTGCTAAAAATAAAAGAAAAATCGTAGGCAAAATATATGAAAATTATAATTAAACTTATGGGATTTATCCATAAAAATATGAAAAAAGATTATTTGGAAACCGTTTTTTTTATTCATCAACCATCGACAATACTGGCTAGTTAAATTAAAATCTATCTAAGTACCTATTCACTAAAATTTGAAAATGACATTACAATAAACAGAAAAAAGTATTCTAAATTTAAAACCAGGTACCTTTTCTTAACACCACACAATTTATCCCTATCATTTGGCAGGTGAGGCGAATCAAGTAAACACATCTTAAACACTGAGCGGCACTTGCCCACAAAATTCACCACTAAAATATATTTTTAGAAATCAATTGGAGACACAATGTAAACTTAGGCAGTTGCAGTGAACCACTGAGTTGTAACTTCTGTGATTTTAATTTTATTCCATTAATTTGTCATTAGGGGACGGGCGGCCATTATCTGTTTTAAATAGCGTATTTAAGAAATGCGTCACACTGGACACAAATGGCATTTTTGAACTGATGTTCTTCTAGTTTGTTTAGTCTAAACGACCGATGCGGTTTGAGGGGATTGTTTGTTATGATAACAATATTTTACTATCGTTAATTGTTTAGTATCTATTTTGGTTTATTATAACATATAATAACTTGTTATGTATAATTATCTAGTTGCTTTTGAGTAAAAGCAGCTAAAAATAGTATATCAATTCTCATAATTTTATACAGACTAAAACTAGGTTGGCGGTTCGGATGGATGGAAAGCTAGAATTAAAAAATAAGAATAAATATGGGTAAATGCAATAACTAACACATTTCGTTTTCTGTTTGATAAAAATTAAATATCAATTAGCGAAGTGTATTTGTCATCAGTCTGTTTTCTATACACAATAACATTATTGAAACTGTTGTCAGACATAGATTTTGTTTTCATCTACCACTGCCGAATGCCATAAGGTTGCATGACAAATAAACCGGAGCTGGTTTAAAAACTTTTTTCTATTTTCAACCTCAACTCAGATGGCCCATATGAACATTCATATCTAAGTGGTATTTGGATTTATTACAAACCTTTTTAAAACAAGAAATCCTGTCGTACATTTATTATTATAACAAGTTATTAAAGACGGATTGAATACAATGAAATCACGAGGGGTGACTAAAAACGCAGGTAGCCGAAATTACTGTTTGGATCAAACTCAAAAGATGGATTTTTAAGAAGATTAGGTCCAGTCATGTATTTAATAAAAGTGGAACTTTTAGTTTTAGACAATTTGAATAAACTAACATCAACTGGTGAACATCCACTGCTGATATCTATGGGGGTTTAGTGCAACTCGTTGCTTGGCAGTCTTGAGGATCGGAGATCACGATCACCATTATGAGGACGATACAAGCAAGTCCAGTCCAGCCCAAATTAAAAATACAGGTAAGTACTATTTTTACACAATTTGACGAAATAAATACTTATCTAGGTTACCGACAACGTCTAACTATAGATATTGTATCAGTATTTTTATATCGGGCAATAACAATCATAGATTACTTGCGTAATAATGTCTACGATGCGTGATAGATTTGGAATGATAGTAGCTTTACGTGGTAAAAGTGTCATGGCGGTCGATCGTGTCACATTGATGTTTAGAAGCAGCGTATCTATAACGTAATAAGAACACAAATTTGACGCTAGTTATGTTATAATTGCTATTTAACAAGGGCGAGCTAATTGCCAACTTGCATAATTTTTAATGACAAGTCCGTTAACCGAAATACTTAAAAATATTTTTTTTAGATGATAGGTCAGCAAACGAGCATACGGAGAACGGACACCTGCAGCAACAGAGGAGTTACGAGTGCGTTGCCAACCTTTTGAGGATTCGGGATTTGGAGATATTGGGATTGGGGAGGGATAGGGGAGGAAGAATTGGGGCTCCGCTAAACTTCACTCACACAGCAAAACAGCGCTGTGGTTGTTTTCCGCCAGTTTTCTGTGATGCCGTGGTATCAATCCGGTCGAGCCGACCCATTTGTGTCGAAGCATAACTCTCCCTGATCTTCGAATGGAGCCTTTTATTAGTCAGCCAATGGAAGGCAGTTCATATTATATTACACTATGCAATATAAAACTACTAAATTCTTAAAAAATATAATAAATAAGCCACAAAACAATACTTAGAAAATAATCACACCACAGTGTGAATCAAAAGAATGTTGAAGTGGTCAGAGGAATGTTTTCGATACAAAGACATACCTACATGATCATATTACTGATCGTTTCCAATTTTATTGTACATCATCATTTTTTATAGTAAAATGCGTAGAAATAAATAAATCCAATGCTGAATGCACAATAAGTATTTTTATACAATTATTCTATTTGCTTTAAGGAACTGCATATGATTCATTTATTTTAACGAGAACTACATAGTATACTATGCAGTTTGAATAAGAATCTATTTTAGGCAAGGTATATTATTTAATATCAAACGATGCAAAAATCTGCTTCTTTTTGGACTATGTTAAAAATGGGGATATTGTGTCACACACAACAAAAAACATATACCATGTTCTTTTGCCTTTATTAGAAGTCTTACTGCCTTACTCAGAGGCGTTTAATGATTAATTAAACCATACTTTCGTAACGATTTTGTTCCGAAAGCAATTGCTAAGGACCTATTAACCATTAAATGAAAATTGTGTGATTAATACCACTTTGAGTGGGGCGAGGTGGACTGTCAGACTCGTACTGACTAAAAAATACACGTTCCTTCTCCTGCACCAAGCCAGGTCCATGGTATATAATATATGCTGTAAAATAACATAGGCCTTATCACCTGCTATGTCTTATAGGACACATACATACATTACATACTTATATCCGAGTAATGACGAAAGAACTTAAGATTATGGATCGCTAACGCAAACCGCTTAGCTAGAGCAGACTTTAATATTGAATCGACGGCTACAATGACGCAAGCAGACTTCATACGTGTTTAGAATTCGAGAAGCCATTCGCAAAACACATACGTTTTCAATTTATTTATAAGGTGAACCCGTGTTAAACTTTTCTTAGTAACATATTTAGTTATATTAGTGAAAAACGGAGGGTCAAGAAACTATTTTTTTTGCCAAAACACAAAGTTAGAAGTCCCTATGAACGAGGGTACGCTTCTCAATGAAAATTATCAATACTGGCAACGGGAAAAGTTTACAATATGAAAGATAAAAATAATCAACGTTGTATGAATCTTAAATAAATCTAAACAGTGGCTCAATTCTTTAAAAAAGTTTTTCAATGTCTATGAAGATGCTTACAACTGACCTAAAGCCCATTGGCGCTAGCGTCGATTATCATTCGACGCTCCCTACATGTACCGCTCCAAAATGCATCTACCGTCAATGTACTGCTGTTGGTGATGACAAAACGTAGGATTATATATTTTAATAATCTTTATAAGCATGTTCTCTCCAGCTGCCTAACTATAAATCATGGTCCAAAGACCAAAAACATTATTGATCCACACGTAACGTAGAGGCGAGATAATAACTTTCTTATCCACGTTTGTTGTGTCTGCCATTTTGTGTAGCTATTGATATTGCATATCGTGCAATTAAATGCAATAATCTTAACGGATAATATGGATATTATTAAAGTATACCTATCTCTAATCTTTGTTACAATGTTTAGGAAAATTTTAACAAGCAGTAAACCTTAATTTTAATGCAAGTTCCAGAAGAAAAAAAACCCAATGTTATCTGAGTTTGGTTTATTTTTATCTGAACAATATATTGCGATATAAGTACCTACCTAAGTAGTCAATGATATATTATTTTTGTGAAGTATTGCCGCTTACAAAACCCTACAATAAAATCGTGGTTGGAGGTTGCCAGTCACTTATCTTTATATAAAACAAAGTTCCCCGACACGTCTGACTGTCTGTCTATACGCGATAAACTAAAAGACATCAGAATTAACGTTAGGACAGGTTTCACAACTGCACAAGGCGGTGAGGAAAACCGAGTTTCCATTTAAAACGTGTCACTAATATTAAATTTTTAATGACACAGAAGGGCTACTGCAACGACAAGTGACGATTTTGGAACAAGAAATTTGGGCTTATAAAGAATTAAATAATAATATAAGTAAAATTTCTTTATTTTTGATTGATTTTTGTTATACGTATACCTAACACTTCAACAATATATCAATGAACGTCAATAATGAACAATTGGAAAATCTGTCGACAACTTGACGACAGCAATTTATTAAATCTGCGCTTGTTGAAGACTCAAGGGGAACCGAAGGTTCAATTTAGCATTCAGGTCGACGCTTGAAGACTGGATTTTATTATTGTCATGCGAGAAAAATAAAATATCGAAGCTACACAACTAACGATATAAAATTGGGACCAGACGGTGCACTATGTAGGTAAACAAACATTGTAGACGGTAAACCAAGTTTTGGTATTACTGATAACAAAGCCACATGGTAGAGTGCAACAGATTGAGGAAAAATGTATACGAAGTTTTAGAATCCAGGAGCACTAGGCCGTAAACAATTGCAGACATTATTAATAAACATAATTCTTGGAAACGCGATCGGAACATTAAATCACTTGTGGCTGGTGGAATAAAACGTCCAAGAAAAACTTGTTCGCTTTAATTGAGACGTTAATATGTAATTAACAACGTTTTTTATTTAAGCAAAATGAGTACATCTCTCGTCATCATCGCCTGTTTTTAATTCTAGGGACAGACACTGTTTTATTTGTCTCCCGGACCTATTATATTGGATTTACCCTGGCAAAGACTAAAGTGGAACCGATTTTGGATTCGATAATTTTTATTTAGCTCGGCAATAGTAACCAAACCTTCAAAAATGAATTTAGAAGTAAAATTAAAGAACGATAATATGGAAAAGTGGATACAATGTAGATACGGTTTATCGTAATGTTCTAACTTCAATCGGTTTCTAAGGGGAGATAAACAGAGGACGAAGAAATATGCCGAGTGGAATTTCCCAAATATAATTTAGTAGAAGCATTGAATTGTATATTATTTATATTAAAATCATTCAATAAAAGATTAAGAATTGACTTTGAACGAGTAATTCATTCACTACATATATATATTATTATTTTTTGGAGAAAGTAAATCGTAATCGCGAACAAGTTTGACAAGGGCATAACAACAAACCAGCCAATCATATTTTTTGATAATGAATCACTACTTTATCGTATCATTCGATTTGATAATTGCAAAAATACAATATAAATAATTAAAAGATTTTAGCTGGAAGCCATTAATGGTTGGAAAGAAACACGTGACAAAACAGATTTTTAGGTCGATACAGTCACATGATACAGGATCGAGGGACGAAAAGCGGCTGGTTTTATAGAAGCTAATGACGATGCAACTACGTAAGGATACAATTGGCGCTGATTGCAAAAGTAACGCTCCCGTCTACCAATTGAGGGTCCGCGATGACGTTCATTCTGCAATAAAAGTTAGATCCAACTCGTTTCTAGTCGCGTACGCAAGCTAGACAGAAATAATAAATATGTATGGAGCTATCAAGATCATAGACGTTGCGGACATATACAACATAGGATCATGCGAACAAAGACTAATTAAAATCAATGTGGTTAAAACTGATACAGTAGACTTGAATAAATATACGAGTATAATGGTTTTGTGTTCAGTAAGTTACTAAATTTTGTTTTCTTCCGTGATTGAGTTTACTTCCGATACATTTCCATTGATTTCCTTAATAATTTTTGTTCGAATCTTATGCGGAACTGTTCTGTATATATAACTTTAAAAGCATTGACATCAAACATGGATCATACAATTTTCCTAAAACTCTTTGTAACTTTCTTGTATCTTAGGGCTGATTTTTCAATGGTTAGATAAAAGTTACCTAGGGAATAATTATGATGCTGTCGCGTCAGAATGTTTGTACAAGACAGTGACAGCAACCATTTTATTTCTCAGATAACAGCACATTTATCTGACTATTAAAAAGTCAGCCCTTATTGTTTTTAAATAACTGATTGTAACATTGTTACACAACCTGTGTAATAATAAACAGCGTAAAATCAAGCCATTTTCAAATTTTATCGTTTTGAATACAAGTTATCTTGAATTCAAGATAAAAGAAAACGAGACATAAATAATCAAATTCGGAACTGACCAACTCAATGACTTTGGAACAACTTACAAAATTCTAAACAGTAACAGGTACATTAGCGTAAACACTAATTATTGTTAATACTCAACAAAAACAACTCAAGTTGATAATGAAAACGATAAATTGAATTTGTTCCTTAGTTAATAAATAAACAGGTTATTAAAGGCAACTTAGCTTTGTACAATTCAATCAAATAATAGTACGACTGGATAAAGGGTCTTCAATCGCGTTTGATTTGAGACTTTCGTTCTAATTTGGGAATTAAAACCAGTTAGAAATAAACCTAATGGCTATTTGATACAGTTTTGTATAAATTGACACCTATTGGATTATTAAACTAAAGTTGATTGATAGACGCGTTAGAATGTTCTCGAAGCACCTTACGAAGCCTGCACAACGTGCACGTACACAAATTGTATAATGTGATGTTAGCGCCATAAATGTCTGGGATTCGAATTAATTAAATACTTTAATTCCGCTATAAATCAAGACGACATCGTCACTGAGAACCAACAAATTTTAACGACTTTCAAAATAACTATTAGGCAAACTCAAAATAAAGGAGGCCATGTAAACAATATAAAATCAAATATTTTTTTAATGATTTTCCTCAATTAAAAGTTTTATAATTATTCCTATGAAAAACTATTATTATGCGATTAAAAAGTAATTAATCTAAATGGAAAACGTGATGCGTGGCCTGGGGCCAACTTGGGCGCCATTTTGTAAAATATTGATGTCAGTCAACATGGCGATAATTGTAAGACGAAGTATTATAATGTTGATTTAATGCCCAATAAAGATTATAATTTCATTTATTGGACATGATTGCCTGTTAAAGCTCTCTTTATGTCTTGAGATTATTTGAAGTGCTAATATCGATTTGATAATTAAACATTTGCTACATTGTTGACGCTTAGATTTCTTCCGCATCGATACACATATACATACTTTGCTTTGTTTGGAACCAGTTAAATGTAATTAGCAAATCATAGAAAACTATTTCGAACTTTGTGATGGAAACACACACCATTAAAAAATTCCCAAGATATACTTGGGAATTTTTAATGGTGTTTGGATAAAGTTTTACTTTTGGATTTTTTTGGGTAGACGGCATTGACTTCCGTAAGCCCATCATCATTGGCATAAAATCTGATCTGAACATTGAATGGCCACCCCAAATAAAGAAATGGCTAGGGAAAAGACAGATAAACTATTTATAAATATTTATCAGCAGACAAGCCGGTATTTTCATTCCAAAAAGTCACCAATCAGCAGTGGACTGTGGCGTTAAATATACGTGACAAAGTTTATCATTAAGACGTCGTATGATATAAACACGCTGTTGATACCTTGATGCGTGGGTCACTAATGGAGAGGTTACGTTATCATCTCTATCGGACAACAGGCTCGTGTCTGATCCACGTTTGAGTTCCAAGTTACTGTCCAGCTAAAACAAGCAGTTTTTTATGCCGACGATAAAGTATTCAACCACCATTTCGTTGCTCAGTTTTTTATTACTGAACTAAATGTATTCTATGATTCATTTTATTATCTTTATTGAACGTCCAAACTTTGAGTGGGATACACTGACAAATAGTAAAACTCCTCATGTGACTTCCGAAGAACGGCCGATATTTTTAGTTCACAAAATCACGAGGTTCAGTTCTTTAGAAAACCATGTGCTTCCGAAGGAAATCAGCTCATCACGAGGTATCACCTGATACAATCTTTGGCGAACTTCCACTGATTACAAAACCAATGAAAATGTGACCTTTGTATTACTGCAAGGGGAAAAGCATATTGTTTCTCTGTTAATACTTTTACATCACCTCATTTTCGACCTTATTGGTAAAGCAATAAGATAAAGAGATGCCGATTAGATAGTGTCCAAAACATTGAAGTGGCTGTTCAATAAAGTTTGTAGGAGTTATTCGGCTCTTTCACAAGTTAGCACAATAAATAGTTTTCGAATATAAAATAAATATATTCAATTATCATCAGTTATTATATTTCTGAGAAATATTAACAAATTAATTTGTGTTAAAATGTCCGTCGCGCGTATTTCTATCGCAATAAATCAACTGGAAACAGAACCAGTCAAAACAACATTTGAATCGTGTTTAGAACTCCATCTTCACAAGTTGAATGAACGCAGCTTCAAACTCTGCTGGTGACGGGTTCAAAGAGGTTCAATGGAGTGATTAATTCATAGTTTTCTCGCTAATTAGAACTCTTTGTAATGCAATACATCTTCTTTATGAGTATAAACGAGCCACGTTGTTAAAAAAGCAGCGGATACCTCGCTTATAATCTGTATAGATATTATTTTTAGTTTATTTATTTAAAGAAGCTCGTTTTTGTAACACTGAAAACATTTTTGTTTGTTCATTGATAGCGCGGTCATTTTGGTAAATAAATAAAAAAACTTACGTAATAAAAATATTAAGAGCTACCTTAAATGCACGTGTTCGGATAAACCTTCAAAGTCTTGTTTATATTTTTAAATAGTTAATAAAGTGAACATGACAATGATATAATTAAAATTGTCTAGCAAGAGATCAAAAGTTCAACTTACATAAAATCTTCCAAGTCAACTACAGTCGTGTACTGACATGGCTGACCATCCACGTTATAGCACATGCTGTTATAATCCCATGCCGGCTGCTCATGGCACGGCAGGTTATGGACCATGGGACGAGGAGGAACAAACTGAACTGGTTGCTGATACACTTCCTGCACTGGGTAATACGGAACCACATTCTCATGTCCATAAGGAACGAACGGCCTAAAACACTGCACTGAAGGACTTTGAAGGTTTGGATTATAATCACCATAACTACACTGGGAGTTAACTGGCTGCCTAGACCACTGACTTGCCATCGGGCACTGCAAATTCCATCCTGGATCCTCATACACCCCAGTTACGGGGCACTCCAGAGGGTACTGCTCGCCAAAACCGTTTACGAGCATTTTGGAATCCGAAATTTCGCATTCGTTTACAGGGAACCGCAAAACAGTCCATCGAGGTACAAAAACAGCGAGCAACTGATAGCAGCAAAGATGTTCTTATCTATATTGAGGATAAAAGCCATAGTAGCAAAAACTTGATAATAACAAAATTATTAGATAACATTGAATTATTCGACCCTGGTAAGTCTAGCTGGCGACTGATATACAATAATTTTATTTTGTGAATTAATTTAATTTTAATACATCAGTATACATTTCCACGTTGCATCAAAATGTAAAGAGAAAATCGATAAAACGACATGTTTACCGATTTTTCCACGATGACGACTTATCTTGGTTGGACCAAAGGTGATAGATTAGGAGTGCAATATTATTATATCTAGTCTTTCGTTATTCATAAAACATTGTAATGACTGGAAATGCTAATTTGGAGTTGATTGTTGATGATGAAAAGAGTAATAATATCCGAAAAGGAATATTAAATTCGTAATCGGTTACGGACATACATGCAACTAACACGATTGACGTTAAATTGATTCACATGTAATTATTTTGATGCAAATTCAAAAATAAAATATCAGACAGTAATTTCAATATATATTTTATCTTTGCAACATACGAGTAAAACAGCTGGAGCGCACCAAAATGCCTAAGGCATTGTTACTTAACCGTTGGCTGATGGGATAGAGTAAGTATTGTAGGAGCAATAAAGAAGGAAAATTGGTAAAATAAAGTTGGATTAAATGTATTATGCAGATGGATAATACATCTATGAACGTAAATACTATACAGTAATGTAGTTAATCCCTACAATCATTATAAAGCTGAAGAGTTGTTTGAACGCTCTAATCTCACGAACTACTGGTTCGATTAGAAAAAATATTTTCGTGTTGTGAATTGACTCCCCATTCATCGAGGAAGGCTTAGGCTAAAACATCATGATGAAACCAGTAGGAGTCCAGCAGCAGGTGAAACCGAGCGGAAGCAACTAAAAAACAAAATACCAGATTTCTAAAATAAGATGTACCAACAGATTACCTAGCTAGTAGTAATTAGGCATTAGATGCAATTTAAGCTTCTCGCTTTTAATGAAGACATATTTAAAATTAATATAATTCCCGGCGAATTGCATAAAAACTAAACGAGCCAGTCGAGTTGAAACCGACAGGATGTAGTTCTCTCGTTAATGAGCCAAGACACTGGATTCCTTTAAGACAGAAATATAAATAAGTATTCTGTATCACATAAAAAGTTTGTTTGAATAACTTATCGTAATGGGCAAGTTGATTAACTAAGAAAAAATCAAAGGAATATTTTTCTACTATACTACAACCTAAAAATAAGTATTGATGGATTTTTCTTTCCACTGTAAAGAACGCCACTAAAATCCGCTCAGCAGTTTTTAAGTTTAGACATTGTAACCAAACACACAAAAACGTCGAAGGACATTTTAGACGATCATTACGCAACGTAAAGGGTGGCCAAAAGAGTACGTAAGATTTTAAAAACAAAAAATGAGGATGCCACTTCCACAAAAACAAAAGTCACGCAGAAACCGAATGCAACAACAACATAGCCGATATAAATATGTCACACGTGGAAGCAACGGAAGCTGACCTAAATGTGCATGTTGTCGAGTGCAACGCAATTGGTCAACATGGTCAGACATTCTGTTATAATACTCCAAGGCTTTATAAATTTTATAAATTAAATTATGTCTCACCAATTGTATCATGAAGAGAATTTTTGAATGAAGCAGAGACCAAAACTTGACTTGCATTTTCATCCTAATCTGCTAGTGACTTTTAAGTTTCTTGATTAGCTGGCTTTCCTCGGTTATATTTCAACACGGTGTAAACATCATCCTTAATAATAAAGTACAGGCATTGTTTTAAAAATTTCTGGCTTGGTTTGTAGCGGGTGCTTCAGAAATTTGGAGCTCCGGTGAGACGCCTATAGAACTGTTTTGAATGGTTCATCTTTTAGAATTAACTGAACATACTGTCAAAGAAGTAAAATATGAATAAAGGTTATATGCAATTTCTGCATTCATCAATGCAAATTAAAATGTTTGGAGAAATAACGTGACAATGCTGATAGATCGCCATGATTGTGTTCATCTAGAACTGCAGTTTTTTGTCAGAACCACCAGATTATTCTCGATTTATGTTCACTTTAATGTGCCACCAATAATCGCACAGAAATGGCTTAAGGTATTGTAGGTATATATTTTCAAATTAACCTGCACGGCAACTGGCTGCCGTGCAAGGTGTCGCGGGTTCGATTCCCGAACGGAACAACTCTTTGCGCGATCCACAAATTTTTGTGTCATGTGTTTGTGAAATTGTATGTTTGTAACCGCACAGGACACAGGAGAAAACCCTAGTGTGGGGCAAATATTTCTTTGAGAAGCAAAAAATAACGGGACCCAATTAGAAATAGTCGTCTAACTTTCTTGAAAGTTCACCCAGAAGGGCCGTGCGTCATAAATATGTATCACAGTGTTTAGCTTGTTGTGTCAGCCGTCTAACTAATAGATATTCAACACAACGCATATGTGGGCCGCCGGGCGCCTCATTCGAAACAAAGGCTTAATTTAAACGCGTTTATCTATGTGTACTTACAAACTTTAATATTATATGTATTCCGATAGCGGTCAGCATTCACTTATACACAGAATTAACTGTCTATCTCCACTAACAAGTTATTTAGTTAACCATTAAACAACTTTTAAATATTTAAATAAACCACTGTTAATAGTAGCGTATTTAACAAGCATGGAATTTCAATGTTTACTGAAGAGGTAGGTAATTACTTTTTATTGCTCAAGCGGCTTTGATGTTTAACTGACAAAATTGTAATCGAGAATGATAAAAATAATAACTACTTACTCGCCATGTAAAATAGGTAACTGTAACAATTTAAGACGCAAAAAATATGTTGTACTCTCTGCCTATTACACGAATATACGAAATAAAAACTTATTAGCAATTTAAGATACAGAAAATATTATGTTATGACTTTTAGAGACGATAATCACTACATCTACATAGTATAAAACAAAGTTGCTGTCGCCCTTTGAAACTCCGCAACAGGTTTAGTGCGTTTTTTTAGTAGACAGAGAGGTTGAATACTAAGATTTATACATTTTGTATGAAAGCCGAGGCGGGTCGCTAGTAAAAAAAAATCAAAGAGTAATTTCTTAGTCTTGATTGAAAATCTAACTCCGATATTTGGACAGAAAATTGACATTTGCTTCAATCACTGATAGCCTATCTGTTACGTCAAAGCAATCGATGCATCCATAACATATTAGCCTAACCAACTTTAGTTACTATGAACAAAAAATACGATTAGTCATGTATAATTTTAGTATAGTTGATTATTTTGTTATGATTTATCGATTCTATGTATTAGCTGATAATGCAATATGACAAAATAACGTTCTACCACCTACGGTAAGCTTTAAATTGGTTATCCGCCGATATTAAGGTGATGCTTGTATACCTTTTTATGACCACGATTAACCTTTCAATCGTGACACAATAGCAGAGCAATAGGTGTGTAAACGCCGGCGTTTGCTTGGGGTTACATGAATTGAGGAGTTAATTAGCCATAGCATTAGTCCCACTCCAGAGACTACTAGACTAGAAGCCATGTTTACTATAATTTCCAATTCCATTATCGACTCTGAAAAATAAGGAATGCATTGTACTTATAGATTAAATTTTACAGCACGAATGAAAAAAGTTTTTTTTTAAATACGTCCATAGGTACGTCCATTTAAAGGAATGTTCAAATGTATGGAAGTGCATACCTCTTGTAAAACAAGTATAAGACAAATGACATCGCCCAGCTTCGAGCATGTGGAATTCAGAGCATCTGGACTATATTAAGAGTGAAAGTCGAGCTTAATCAAAATGAATCTTAACAGTATGTGCTTGAACAATTCTAAAATTAGAACAGTACGCTAATGTATTAATAGATCTTCGGATTACGAACTTCTGCGATTTTGGTTGGTTTACTTTGATATCTACGTTTGCTTACGAATCAAATATCAATATTTGATCTGAGTCTTGTAGCAATTTTGCCAATGATGTGAATGACGTTCGTTAACGTTACGATTTTGAGAAATGTGTAAGGACACATAATACAAGGTCAATCTTATCTTACTTTTATTTATTAATTACCAGCTACTCTCACGAGATTTCACCCGTTGCTCGGCTCCATTTGATCGTAGCCTGATGTTTTATAGCCTATAGATCACTCAGGAACATTGTAGCTATCTATCAGTGAAAGAATTTTGGCAATCTGACCAGCGGTTCCAAAGATAATCCCCTACATACAAACTTAAAAAAATTACCTCTTTATAATATTAGTATAGATTTACAATTGTCTAGCGTGTTTTCTGCCCAGAAAAGCAATTAAGCTACTACTGAAAATGACAGTTGTAATATTTAATGGCAAAATTATTTCTCCTGTTATTAATTTAAGAATCCCTCATCATCATCAGCATCATCAGCTTGTTAAGATCCATAGCTGAACATCAGCCTCTCCAATGCAGTCCGGCTTTGATATTTAGCTTCTCACATCCATCCAATATCAGCCATCTTGCATCTTAAAGATATCATTACTATACCATACTACATAGTTGGGTTTTACCTACACTAAACAGTCAATGTTTCTTTCAATGGCCACGTAGCTCTCACAATTGGAAGTTCCACATGGAGCTTATTTAAGAGCTGCCGAGTATGGCTAAGTCTGAACACACAAAACTCAAATGACTAGGGCAAACAAAGACAGATATATGGTTAAAGCCTTAAACAGTAAGCTAGTCATATTCTCTCAAGGTATAAAGATAACAAAAAAAGTATCATATTTATACACAATTGTGTCATACATTATTTTGTTCTAAACTTCATTAGACAGTTATTGTGATAAAAGGCTTATCATTGACGCCACAACGCCTGATAAAAGTAACAAATAAGTTTTTAACTAAGCTAGGCGGGATAACGGAGTCTTCATTTTTATTCCTGAAATAAAAACTACACACCATAAAGTTACTTTACA